TAAAGGGAATTAATGCAGCTCTACTGGTATCCCCAACCCCCCCCCCCCAAAAAAAAAAAAAAAAAAAACAAAAAAAAAAAAAAAATATTATTTTTTTTTTTTTGTTTTTTTTTTTTTTTTTTTGGGGGGGGGGGGTGGGGGATACCAGTAGAGCTGCATTAATTCCCTTTAGATTTAATGTGGTCTAAAAGGATCTACAGTACCTAAAAATATGAACATTAAACCCAGCCCATTAAATGAATACATCAATAGACTGAAACATTTAGGAAAATATCAGATTTATTGAAAATAAGTGAGTACAAAAGGGAAAAGAAATATATAGTTATATAAATGCAGTTAAAAACATATATATGTGCGATGGTTATAGTAATATGTTAAAGCATATTTTCTCAGAAGAACCGTCATAGAAGTGAAGGTGTTCAGCTTCGTTTGCTAAAAAAAAAAAGAAAAAGAGAAAGCAATATTAAATATTTAAATCAAACATTAAATCTTGAATTAATGGTGATTCTGGTCTACTAAGAAATGTCGAGCCAAGATAACGGCTTACTTCAGATACTCGATGGCTCTGCGGACCCATGGCATATCAGGATTGGCACAGACAAGTTTGTTTTTCACAGTGAGGAAACTGAAATCAGAAAAATTGAGAAGTTTTGAGCATGCAATCACATTCGTAATACCCATTATGTATGTTGTGCTGAAAAACCTTTAACTTACATTGTTGAATTGATGTTGCAGTTGCCTGTGTCGAATTGCATCCAATAGGCTTTCAGGTTCTGTAATCTTATTGGATTGTTAAAATTTTTTGTGCAACAAGGTCCCTGGAAACCTTTGTAAAGAGAGAAAAAAAAACATTGACATGTTAGAGAAAATTTTTGTTTTTCATGTTTCACACTTTGATGCCTCAAAAGTAATATAATACCATAAAGTTAAAATATAATATCTCTATAAAGCTAAAATACTCAGAATTAAGGCTCCTTTAAAATCCCACTTACTGGTTTCGCTGAGAGCTATGAGCAGCAGCAGTGCAAAGACACACACAGTAAGCTTTGCCATCTTCCTCGGTGGTAAATCAGAGAGCTGGTATGGATTGAAAGATGGGATTTAGAGATATGATCTACCTCTGGCTGTGAAGTTTAAATAGGTTGTGACACGGAAGGAAGCCGTCCAACCACTCACCAAGAATGAGTTGGAAAAAACTAGGCTGTGATGTATTTAGGTCAGGCGGGAAGTGTGACGTTCCGTGTACTTTTTACCAACAAATCCCCCCAGTACAAGGCTCCAATGTGTGATATCATGCTATGTCAAGGAAAAAGGCTATTAGAAATTCTAACATTTTTATGAAGTATTCTTTTTACGTCTTCCTCATAGGAAATTACTCAACGTAAATAGTGCAATCCCACTAGTCAATGATTAAAATTTAAACAAAGGTAGTTTCAGCTACACACTTTATGACAACTATATAGGACAAAGTGTTTCATTTGTCATGCATGAAATTAGCTATTAGTGTGATATATATAGAATGACATACTTCAGGTGGGGTTTAAACCATAATTACAATGATTCACTCTGCAAAAGCTTACTCAAAAGTTAACTTTCTAGCAAATATTGTGACTGTATTACAGTAGTTAAATAACATTTCTAATGCAATATTTTGTTTATCTTTGCTTCAAGAACTGATAAATAGATTTATCTGAAGCCTTATGAGAGGTTGCATAATCATTTACCCGCAATTTCAAGAGAAAGAACACAAGAAAACGTACTGCAACCCCAAACCTCATCCTGACCTTATTGTTGTAGCATTATGTTGCAACGTTTGACAGCCATTTTGTTTCTTCATAACCTCATTTATTGTCCTTTATATTCATTACTGTATTTTGCTGACTAGTTTTATAAAGTTTCTAAATCTCACAGACTGAATAAATGTCAGCTTATTGGGTTAAATCATTGCAATGCAGTATTGAAAGGGTCGCTTCATTCCAGGTAAAGATTCAAATGTTGGTTAAACCAGATTTTGAAGCCGGCCAGTCATGTACTGGACAGGAAAGTGTTTCTATAAGATTGCAATCAATCAACATGTAGAAGCAAGTGTTCTCAGTCAGTAGCTCTGTGACGTCAGTAAGATGCATTAGTTAGAATGACTGATCCTTTGTGTGAATTGTCTGAGGTTGTCCTTCAGTTCCATTTGTCTCATTAATCAAGCTGTATTTGTTTGATCTTTGTTTTGTTATTGTTAGAGTGAAACCAGGAAGCAAAATTCCACTGCCATGTTTTAATTCCTTGTGAGAGGATTTAAAGTTCCTATTAAAAAAGCCCGGCTGAAATTA